CTTTCTGTTATATATTACTACCAATAACTTAACCACTCCAATGAATCCGGTATTCACCTTGATATGCTAATGAGGTATGACAACTTGGACCGATGCATATATGTGCCTGGTCCTACGTTGCAACTGACTGATTGACTGAGTGACTCACACTAGACATATATAGATACTATTAGATGATTAAAATGAAGTTTCTAGTGAAAATTATACTTTTCTATGCAGAACTTATCAACAAAGTGAACGATAAATATTAGATATGGCAGTTTTTATTAAACATTTAAAAAGTTATGGTTATCCTCATACAAGTTTGTGTATTAAATTATAAGTTAAAGAAGAATAGTAAACTAAGAAAATAGTTCATAAATCAAAATATGAAAAGAAAATTTTCTATTTGATGAATATCAGAAAAAGTAAAGGAAATAGGAAAGCAAAACTTAGTGATAATGACGAGTAATTAATAAAGATTTACATAGGAGATTATAATCATAATATGATGAATGATAGAACATACTATTTCAAGATGGTGGAGAATATTTGTAGCTCAGGTGGATGATTTTGGTAGACTTTTGTTCTCTGAGTTGGATAGTTTAATTATGAAGCTTTCATCATTATTTATCATTACACTTCACTTCTACCTGAAATTTGTACTGATAATGTCCTTTAGAAGAACAATGAAAGCTCTATGTCCAAACCATCCAGTTCAGAGAACAAAACTCCATTAAAAAACATACTACTTCTGTATACATATTTCAAGCTTTAATAGTTGAATTGTGTATTCGTATTGTTTCTTATTTTTACTGTGTGTATTTTTGGAATATCATTCTGGATAAAATAGCTTAATCAGGATTGAACAATTATATTCACTTGTTTACTCTATGTGACAGTCAGATAGGATAGTAGTTAAGGTTATGTTACAGAAGAGCCTGTTTTTCACGGCCAATGTTATCAATTCCCTAGAAGCAAGTAAATGTATAAATGAATATTGATGTCATCGAAAATATATGTTTTACTTGACCATTTCTACAAATCATAGGCATGTTAGAGAAGATAAAATATTGAATATTTTACCGTAAATCTTAAATATCTGATTTTAAAGTTTCATTTGAAATGTTTTCTCTAACTTTAATGTTAGTAAGGAGAACTACTCTTGTAAGTATGGGTAACTCTCAGGATACATTACAGTAAAGATTCTAGAAAGCGTTTTATTCTCTTGAACTTCATGAATTTTAGAGGCTTAAGCAAATTACTTATTTAAGCCCAACCTTTGCTTATAACATGTATAGTCTCTTATTCTATCATAATATTTATCCTCTTTCATAACCTTTTAGCTGAATGATAGTTATATTAGCTGTCTTAGATTTTTTAAAAAGTTTTTTAAGTCAGGGAGGGGTTTTGTGAATATTATAGTAATTTAATAGTTGAATTCATAAATCAATTGAACCGGCTCACTGCTGAGCAGTCCCACACTAGGACGAAACGGCTATCCAGTGCCTTTAGGTTCTTCATGGTGGTCTAGCTTTAATTGACATATGAATTCAACTATTAAGTTATTTAAGTATCTTTTTTGAGTCTTGTCAAACAAAAATCTTCAAATTTTTTCAGTTGGGAATATTTGATTTTATAGTTTCGATTTCCCTGATTTTATCGTCAGTCAGTCAACTACAACGTAGGACCAGGCACATATGTGCATCGGTCCAAGTTGCCATACCACATTAGCACAACAAGATGAACACCAGATTCATAGAAGTAGTTATTTCAGTGATAGTAATATATAGAAGAAAGATTGCATATAAGGAGATAGTACAGGAGGAAAGAATTAGTTCATAGAAAGAAAGATATGAAGCGATTTTAATGTTTTAGTTTAAAGGGAGACAGAGAGTGTAAACACCGACGCCATTGTGATCGATTCTGAGCCATGTCACCCAGTCTCCAACCATTGATTACGATAGTCATACGGACCCCAACCAGATAATCTGTATTTACCAATATGGCTCAGACCAGAAGTTAGTGACTTCAAGCACTGATGCCACGTTTTAGTTTGGCCGCCCCGGATTTCGTCGTAACTGGTTCTCATGTTATTCATGATCCAATATATTCTTTTCGATGGTAACAATTTAATTTTTAGACAAAAATTTACTTTCGTTAAAATAAAAATGATTTCATAATGACTTCACAAATTGTTCAACAGGATATTAACGCAGAACTTTGAATATTATTTCCGAGGCGGCTTGCTTGAATATCTGAGCTACCTTTCCCTGCCCTCTTGACATTTCAACAAGTTTGTTTGTTTGTTTTAACACACCATAATGCCTATTAGTAGCATAACCTATTCGGGTACGTTCATGAAAAGCTTACGACATTTCACTGTACAAGTTACAAAAGAGCCCAATCAGAGATATTGTGGTTGCTGTCAGTATGCATCGAAAAGAATATACATAATCCAAATGTCGATTCCTGAACTGCTAACATCTAACTGGCTACCATCCAATATTTATTGCAAGGGTCGATCAAGAAATAAGAAAAAGAAAACGTGTTGAAATACTTTGTTCTGAGAATTCTGTATTGTACCAAAAATATAAAACTGAATAAAGCCACTAATGATAATAATAATATAATATATTGAAGGCTTTTGGGGAACCTATCACCTAATCACAAGACACTACCCGGTTATAAACAATTAACGATAAAAACTAACAAAATAGAAGCGGAATAACAGCTTTATTCTGGAAAATCAGCCCTGATATATCGAATTATCCCTTCATTGTGAGCAAAAAATGGTAACTTTATATATCAACATACATCTTAGGAATCGGACCAGCGTTGTGAGTTAGAATTATTATCTTATATAGTTCTTATCACCAAATAATATCGTTTATAATGCAAAAACGCCAAGGGTTAGGAATTAAGGCTAAAGCTGGAGTTTTGAGAGTGGTTTGTAAATGAGGGTTGAGATTTTCAACATCAATTGACATCAGCTTTGATGTATTGCTTCTCCCCTTCTGTTTAAAAATTTGAGAAACATAAGGTTGAGATTTATAGGAAACATTAGAAAGGGAGAATGTGATCTACCTTTACTAAACACTCTTGATCATGCATTTAATCACATTTTGTCTTAAGAGCAGGTATGTATTGGAATTCAGCTCTAGCAGTATCTTAAATTCATTGAATCAAAACATTTTAAGAATGTATTATTGCTTATTTTCACTTAGTCAATATCAGCATACAAGTTTTTATATAGCATCGGACTTTAAATTCTATGCAAAACACATGTGTTACCTTAATTCTGATTGGCTAACTCAAGGCCGTCGGTATACTATGGTTTTACCACTTTTTTAAAATCACATTGATAATATTTAATGACATAATAGAAAAATTTCTGAACAAATTTATGAGATCAGGTGATACATCAGTGACAGATAACAACTAGCATGAAGCTCAGAATACTTAACTTAGACTAAGTAACATTAGACATAACACATCATGTTTTGATATTAGGTGGTCAGGACGAAACTCTGAACATAAGTTACGTGTTATTCAACACTTGTTAATAAGGTACACCGGTAATCTTGAGGGAACTACTGCTGAGTGACTTGAGTTCGGATCCTACAGGGGACACATGTTGCCTCAAAAGTAAAGATACGCCTTAATGACAAGTGTCAACTAGAACGAAATCTAGGTCCAAACTCATCTCCCAACCGCATAACATCACAACACAATCCATACACTGTTAATATTCTTACTCTAATTGTCATATTACAAGTTAATCAATCAAATTCAATTATTAACACTACAGAACACAATTTTATCTCCTATTCGGTGATCGACTAGTTTTAAAAATCTATCCCATTTATTTATATTAATCAGTTGTAATCGATTTAAAGGTAGTTAAATTTTAACGATTTTTAGATTTCGGAATAACTTATATCATACTTTAAAAATTTAAGGGACAATCTTATTGATTGAGGTTAACATAATCCGCGTGACATATCAAAGTCATGGTCTTATAGAATTTTGAGTGGTATTTATGGAAATGATTCTTCAAAGAAAACAGCTTCTCTAACTGGAATAATTGTTTCCGAGATAGCTATAATGTTGATAAGGTGATGAGACTATAATTTATGGACTTAATAATAGGTATTCTTGAATTTCAGCACGAAATTTATTCATCCTAATAGCTAGATACTATTTCAACATTGTAGTTGTTATCAGATCGTAATAAAAACATTTACTTTACTTTATAACCTTAACATTCAGTTTTATGTTTTAACTCCCCACATTAATTTAAAACACTCTTTTGATTTTAGGTAGGTAGGTAGGTAGGTAGGTAAATTTTATCCAGACCTTTTTAACATCATTCTAAGATCATGCGATAAAGCTAATAGATCAAAAAATTTATAGAATTCTTCTTTTTTTCAAAGATTCTACTTTAATTTTTTAATAGTTGAGATCATGAGTCAATTAAAGCTAGACTATCAAAAAAACCTATAAGTACTGGACGGCCGTTTCGTCCTACGTTAGGACTTCTCAACAGTGCTCATCCACGATCCCGTCACTACTTTACATATTTATTGAACAAACTACATATATTAATTAATCATTACAAAAAAAAACATTGGAAACTTTCAAAGAATTTCAGCGTGACTACAATTCATGAACGAACCAATCAAGTATAAGATAACAAGTCTCAAATTTTGGCGCGAAATTCACTCATCCATTTGGCAAAATAGAATTTTGGCATTATAACTTAGGTTAGTTCGTAATCAAAACCCTAAATATAATTCTTAATCTTAACCATCAACTATACATCACAATCCTAAGTCCTCACACACGTTTAGTACCCTCATTTTTCTTTAGTTATTAGATGAACCTTCTCAAGATTATTTTAGCATCGTTTAAAGATCTTCCATAAATTATAGTCTTACCAGAAGTTCTTCTTAAATATTACAATAAAAGATATTTTTTTTCTCAAAAAAAAAATAAAATTCAATATCTTCTTTACTTACATCAACCATAGACAAATCTTCACCAATACTTAATGCATATTTAAATAAATCCCTTCTTGAAATGATCCCATCTCTATTTTTATCAATCACTGAAAATTGTTCAAGATATTCCATAATATTGATTAATTAATGAATTAGAAACACCAAATTGTATACGTTAACATTCAGTAATAATAATAATGATCATAATAATAAAAGAAGAAGAAGAAGAGTGATGAAAATGAATAAAAGACACTATTAATTCAGTTTAATCATTGTTTTCACATTCACATCTACCTATCTACCTATCTATCTGTATAGACAGATAGATAGATATGTATATGATTAAATAAATTAAATATTTTGTCACATTGTGTGTATTTGATAAGATAATAGTTAAGAGAAAAAAAAAAACAAATGATGTAATTTATTGATTAATCAACCAGTGATTTTACAACATTCAAATACAACAATACAACATTACTGTCTGTCTGTCTATCTATCCATCTATATATTTACATATTTAATTTGTATACTTAGTAACATAATTCAATGTGCTCAAGAATAAATAATGAAGTAAAGTTTTCTTTAATTGTTTTAATTTGTGCTAGTATTGGTGCATAGTTTTGTGTATGTATGTATGTATGTATGTGTGTGTGTGTGTCAGTAGATATGAATTTGATTTTGGTACTGACTTATTATGAAAGATAAGGCGATTTGTTGAATAATAACTGAATTAATTAGGTCAGACATTCCAAACTATGAGTCGATAAGAGAATAATAATAATAATGTCGCTTTTATAATTTTTTAAAACAAAAGAAAGAATGTAAATAATTTATGAAATGGAAGAAATATTAATAATTTTAATCGGCGAATAATTAAAAAAAAATAGGTTAGAATAATGTTTACTGGTTGGACATCATGAATTGACCTTGATGAAACTTACTTACTTACTTACGCCTGTTACTTCTCGTGGAGGAGCATAGGCTGTTCACCAGCATTCTCTATCCAATCCTGTCCTGGGAAATCCTTTCCAGCTCTTTCCAGTTCTTATTCATCTTTTTCATATCTACTTCTATTTCCCGACGTGATGTGTTCTTTGGCCTTCCTCTTTTCCTCTTCCATTCAGGATTCGAAGTTAGCGCTTGTCTTCTGATGCAGTTTGGTGATTTCCGTAATATATGTCCTATCTCATTCCATCGCCTTTTCCTAATTTCCTTTTCATCTGGAAGTTGGTTTGTTCTCTCCCACAATAGGCTGTTGCTGATGATATTCGGCCAATGGATGTTGAGTATCTTGCGTAGACAACTATTGATAAATACTTGTACCTTCTTGATGGTGGTTGTTGTAGTTCTCCAGGTTTCAGCTCCGTACAGTAGAACTGCCTTGAACTTAATGAAAGAATTATTGAATAGTAGGAAGCATTGAAGATGTTTTTCAGTCTGATATAGGACTCCCCTGAAGTGTGCATTTATGAACCCACATTGAGTCGAACATATGACCATTAAGGTTCGCAATAAACTCTTAGCCTTCAGACTACATAGATGATAGTTAAATGTGTTATAACCTGTGCACTGCGTCCTATTAATGTATAACGTAATGATATCGCAAATTACAGAATAGTGAATTATCGACCGGACCAATAACGTATAAAACCTATACGAGCAGTCTAGAGTCTTTACCGGTCCTGATTCCTGCCTAGTCTTGCCTGTTAGAGTCCAGAACACAAATCTCAGTGTCTGCAATATGAATCAAGTATTTCAAGCATACTAGGTTTATAAATAACTAAATAGACCATAACGTACTATAAAATAGGAAACAATAAGATTTAGCCAAAAATGTCTGTGAATGTGGAGACTGTAATTAATAAACTTGGAATAACTCAAGAATGGTAAATCGTATAATAATAGTTCATAAATCAAAATAAAACTCATAATAAGAGGGATATGAATATGAATAGTTTAGTTATTTAACAATTATACAATAAAAATATACGGATTGTATTGGTCCATAAATCGATCCCAAAAGTTACCATTCATTATTCTGATTGAGATATAACAATGAAATCATTGTCCAATAAATGGATTTGGGAATTAAAGATATAATTCACAAAATATTCTACTGATACAGTACGGCAAGAAGTTATCAGCCACATCACCAATCAAAGGTCAACACATAGATCATGAAACAACCATTTAGGCGTCAATTATGGCCGATGAATTAATAATTTGCGACAAGACTGTCCTCAGACCCCCTCAACCCTCAACAGTAAATATGTTTACGTAGATAGGTATTTTGATCAGTGAAACGAGTTTTTCATCTTGCAGAATATTCAGGTGATTTTTAACTGATGTATTTAATAAAGCATGTTATTATCAAATGACTTGAATAGGTAAACGTGTATATGTGTGGTAGGGGGTTTAGGAACGATAATAGAATAACGACAGATTGCTTTTTCTAAAAACAAAATACCTTTACTGAAGTGTACTTCACTGTAGATATTCGGATATATGGGATAAAAGCATCCAAGATGTTAAATGTGTAAACTTCTATGAATATATCGGTTTACATGTGTATGTGAAACTATTTATAGTTCGTTTAAAAGCATCACTGATGAAAATAATAGAATGATAAGAATCCAGTGATATCTTCCAACCAGCTTACGCTTTGTACTTCATCAAACACCTTTTCAGATATTCTTCGTCCAGAACTAGCTTATCATAGATAACAAATACAGAGCATAAAACACTAGGTAGAAAGCTATCTTGTCTTCTTTTTATGAATATATTCAAAAGTAAGTATCCACGACCACTTCAGACAAACTTACTCATTACATGCATACGTCTATTACTCCTCGTGGAAACATAGGCTACCGAAAAGGATTCTCAATCCGATTCCGTCCTCAGCAATCCTTTCCAGTTGCTATTCATCCTTTTGATTTCTGTCTTCAATTCTCCATACAATATGTTCTTTGGTCTTCCTCTTTTCCTTTTTTCCATGAGGATTCAAAGTTTGACCTTATATCGAGATGCATTTTAATGATCTCCACAATATATATCCTATCCAAACTTAAAGTAGATCTTGGATATTGTTATTATTTACATGTAACTAATTAAGTTGGATGGTTTTCTTGAAAATTCAATTGCCAAAACATTTGACATTTTAAGAATATAAAACATAAGACAAGAGTTAATCAATAATTTGGATTTAAAGATTTTGTTCATATCAAAAAGGTTGATTGAAAAAAGAAAACACATTAGATGATCAAAAAAAGAGAAAAAAAATAAAGATGCTTGTCATTAGTTGCATATCATTCTGCTGATAGTTTGAAAGGAATATACATTTTCAAGTGAAATATTCTTTGAAAATATTTCACTTCAATGTATTCAGTTCCAGCTAGCGTAAATTCTATCAGTAATAGATAGACAATTATTCAATATTAACAAAAGATTTTCCATCTAGATCAAAAAAAGAAACGTTTAAAAGAGACTGTTTAAAATCAATATCCATTGAAGAATAATGTAAAACCAGGGAGAAATAATGAACCATTTTATTTTGGTTAAAAATTCAACAGAAATATTGCTCAACAAAAAAAGCTTTATTTAGTATTGAGCATATAAACTTTAGATCATGTCATCAGCTAGTCCGTTTTCCTCTCTGAACAGATGTATCAAGTCAATGATATACAATGTTCCTTTGTTCAAGACGCATCAAATTTGATAACTGCTTTCCTATTATTTCGATTGAATTTCCTACAATTTTTCATGACTTTAGAACAGATTTTCATATTCAGTCTACCAGTTATTCTTTAGGTATGTAGTTCGTTTAATTATATCCTTTTTTTTCGTCTTGTATATTCTAACCCTAATACTATGGTGTCAATCTTATTCGAATTGAATAGGTAATATCTTGTTATTAGAATAACTGAAACTCTGTGATTGAAAAATCAGTATTCACTTAGAGTTTAAGCTGAAAATATGTTGACTTTATTACATAACTGTCATATCATAACAAAGATTAAATTATGGGTAACTTCTGGGAACTATTTATGGACTGTTATCATAGATGTATATAGTTTTTGTATAACTGTTAAGTAACTATATTATATATATTTATATTTCTTTTATTATTAGCTTTTATTTACCCTATTGACTACTATTATGCGATTTACTATTCTTAAGTTATTCACAATTTATTAGTTTCAGTCTCTCATACTCAACCACTTTTTGACTATTTTATAGTAATGATATAGTCTGATTTGTTTGTATATAAACCAAGTATGTCTGAAATATAGGATTCATATAATGAAAGGTGACATTGATGTTCTCGATTCAACAAGCAAGGCTTGATGATAAGGATTAATAAGGACTCTAGGCTGTTTGTATCAGTTAACTTATTATTGGTTTGACACAGTATTAAGTTTGTATAAGCTGTATTCTAATTGGTGATCTTATCACGTGATAATTAACCGGGAAAAAGTCATAAAAACAACAAGATATCTTGAGAAGAATATGATAAGTGTACGATTTATTTATTTAAACACATAAAAATTGGTATAAGAGGGCACCAAATATATATAAGCCAAATAAATTATTCAATTTGTATGAGGGCTGAGATATTGCCCAAGCGCCCAAACCGAAGTAAGTGTTAATATTATTAATCTTTAATCTTTTGCCAAATTATAAACAAACCAATCAGATTACAATAGAAAATTAAATCAGAACTAAAGATTGATTTGACTACATTTTGATTATCGGAAAAAATTTAATGATGATAATGAGTTATACGATATGATGATAAACACAGATATGTTTACATATGAATGGAATTAAAGGTAGAATTTCTACGTTGTTACTGACTGACTGATGAGTTTAGATATTAGCATGTGTATAACGTTAATATACCTCCCTTATTTCCTAAATAAACTTTATTTATATGATGTTGTATAGTTGTGTTTCTGGTAACAAGGTTATTGATAATAACGTAAAGTACCTTTGTCAATCAAAGGAGTTCTTGAAATATCTCTGAAAATTCCTACTGATTTCCGTTCAAAATAATATCAATATCTTTAGTTCTGACTTATGACTGAGGGTTGGAAAGTAGGAAAACGAAAACGGATATTTCCTACTTAAAC